TGATATCTCAAACCTGCAACTACATGGTAGAACATGTCTTTTCTGGTTTTAGAATATACTATGTACTGTGGCAAGTTGTTAGTCATGTAACAGGGTTAATCTTTTCGGAAGTCATTGGATAACTATATCCGCAATTATGAAAACTGCATTAAGTAAAAAAAACAACTCAGGCACACTTGTTACTTTCATTGCTGAAGGCTACCCCAATGCTACATGCCTTGAGAAGTTCTGCAATAGCAGTGGAGCTGCTGAAAACAAGCATGGCAAGGTTTGTAAGGCTAGGTTGAATGCATGAATGTTGAATGGAGAATAGCATTTTGGACACATGAACCTCAGCCTGCATTGCCCCTAGTTTTGGCTGAGACTTTTTTTACTTCAGTGTCCAACCTGAGCACCTGAATCAGATCCATAGTCCCAGCCAAATGACATCTTGCTGCCTACTGTCTTTCATTCAAGTGTTTCTATATACAAATGGATGTCATCTGTTGGATCTAAATCTTACTATTTCCTTTCAGTTTCTGGCCAAAAAGGGGTGTTTAATATTTCTAAGTTGCTGAGAGAGTAGGCATGATTGAATCAGTGTATTGCAGAAATGATGTTGAGGCAAATTCATATAATGAGAATTTATTAGTAGGCTCCATAGTTGATGGCACATATCAACGATGACAGAGGAAAAAAAAGGAAGGGGGATAGGGGAGGGGTCACAAGGAAAAAACTCTCCCCAGTGGCAAGCTGGAAGGAGAAGCTGTGGTTGGCACCCCGAGACAAACAACTTCATCGGGTGCCCTATCCAGGGCACTAGGCAGTTCCAACATAATGCTTTCCCTACAGCAACTACATGGTTTTGATCAGGACTCACTCAAACTCCGTAGTGATTGTTCCCATTTCCAGTGCAAGCTTTGAGCAGGGCCGGCAGAGGGGGGATGGGGAGGTAGTGCTGAATGGTTTATTGATTAGTGATCTCTGTGCAGGCATATTGCTGAGTCTCATGATTTAAACCAAAAGCTACAACCAAAGGAAAGAGAGGGGGAATGGAGGGGGTGATTCCTGCTCTGGTGACAGTCTCTTCCATTGGAACATGCCATGGCAACACTATTGAGGTCTGCAGGCACTATCCCACTTACCTCCAAGAGGGCCCTGTGGCATCTGGAAGTCTTGGTGCCACTGCACAACCTCCATGGTGCCAAGAGCATCATTCATCCTTTCCCGTGCCATGCAGCAGAAGGAATACTGTGCATCCCTTCATGATAAAAACCATCCAAACTTCCAACTGAATCAGGACACACCGGTCACTGGCCACAGGGAGGACAGATTGCTGAAGAGAGTTTTGTTCACCTAAAAGGAGATGGCATTTGGAAGTAGGCAGAAAACTGTTGCTTGTGACCATTTGCACAGCTGTGCATTCTTGTTAAAAAATGACAGTAAATTTGTCAACAAATGCATTGGTACTCCTGAAGTGCTTGATTAGCTGATGTGAAAAATATGTTAATAAATGCTACATATTATTCAGTTGGCTGTTGCCTAATGTTTTAGATTACAGTACAAAAATGGAAAGCCATATCTCACATTAAACATTTGCCTTCCTTTGCTCAGATTGTTTGCAAGGATTCCCTAAAACTTCTTCTCTGCACCAGGGTATAAAATGCTGTTTGTAGAGTAGGGGACACAGTGGTATTGCTTCTATGCTAAATTATTTGTGTTTGAATCATACTGCACATATACTGATATCTGTGGGGATGTAAAGAATCTCAAGGTGTAAAAGGATAGTATCATATTTAGATATAAACTGGATAGCAAATTTGAGTGGTTCATATTACAGAAGTTCTTGGAAATAAAATAAAAAATTATTAAATAAGTTCATTTCACTTATCTATGTATTGAAATAACCATTTCCCAAGTAGTCTGTTAGTATAAAACCAGTAATAATGCTGGACAGGATAACACAAGGAAGTAGGCATTTGACATGTAATCCCTGTGTTTCCTTTTATCATATGAAGTTCTGCTTACACAGACAATCATGTATACAAACAATGCACATAATAATTGTCTTCTCTGTCTTAATGCATCACATAATAACAGTATCAATTTAAAGGAAGGGCTTTTACCCACATATTTGATTTGATAAAAAATAAAAATGCCCATGAGCAAAAAAATACACTAACCCAGTCCTTTTCACTTTTGTTCTTGAATCTCCTTTACTTCCAACATTTTATGTTAGAAGTCACACATGATCTTGTGCTGTTGCTTTATGCTGGCTGCAGAACTGCATTGATGCAATCTGCATGGCAGTGTACATATGCAAGATGCAACCTGCTTGCCCCTAGAGACTGTGAGTATCAAGACTATGGTAGAGGGTTAGAGACGCTTTGTGACCTTTCTCCAAATCATTTTGAACTTTAAAAATTTTGGTTGATTAAAGTTTTGTCTGCTATCTTCTATTTAAATGAAGCAAACCCGCTAAATAAAGAACCCAAACAAACAGAAGTGCTGTTTTTTGTATGCATGAGCAGGAGGCCTTGATTTATTTGATGTCTTGCTTGTATAACTCTAACTATGGTTAACTATCTAGATTATTTATTATTCATAGATCTCTGTAAACACTGACCACACACACCACTGCTTCTGCATTTCCAGTGTTGAATCCTGACCAGTCTTTCAGAAACATTTAATAGTCACTTCATTCTAGAAACAGCATCTTGCTGATTAAGGAATAAATTTGAGATCTTGACCCCATATTCAGTCATTCCTTTACATCAACTGATTTCAGAGTAATAATAAGAAATTTTCATCTCCATGTAGGCTTACAGGTTGTAACAATGAATTTTATGCAGATTTAACTTTCAGAGTTGGACCTGTGTCACTCATATTAGGTGTACAAAGCCAAAAAACATATATACAGAAATAAAAAGGCTGTTTATTTGTCTTCTTTTTACTTGTTTTTTCATAAAATATCAATGTCTTGCCACAGTTTTCAACCAATATAAAATGCATTTTACTTATAAATGAACATTCTGTTTTGCTTCTTTGTTTAAAATGAATAAATAGCAGCAGCTAAGTATACAAAGATTAATTTTCACTTTTATAACTCATTTGCAAGAAGTTATTCTCCAATTACTTATTAGCTGTGCAATAATACTGAAATTAAAATGAGAAACTTAGTCAATATTGCATGCATCAAAAATGATGAAAATCTTCAGTTACTGAGAACTGTGAAATGTTTATTGGTTTTTAGACACAGAGTCCTCCAGGGAGTGCTACAAATCCACACAAACTCACTGCATCTTCGATGTTGCATTTACAGTGTTGATTTAGATGAAATATGTGTAAAAACTCCTGTAGATAGACAGCTCTCTAGTGACTATACATCTGCAAAGGCTCAAGAACATAAATTACTGCAGCATGAGTCTGGAATAAATTATGCTCACTTCACAAATTCTGGATCTGCTTGATCCACAGTAATGAAGGAAAAATTGTGTTTTAGATCTAGGGAACAAAAGTTTATTTAACTGTCCTGTATATGTGTGTTTAATTTTAGACTGATTTTTTTTTTCTAAGTTGCAGAATGTTAATGAAACCAACAGAGGAGAGAGGACTTGTGAAAGTAGGACATAAAGTGATGTGAGACCAGTCTGGTACAGCAAGTTCCCTGAGCTACATGAGAGCCAAAGGTAAAGAAGCTGCCTTCTCTTCTGGAAAAAAATGAGTCAAGCTTTTTACCCCGCAGCATCATACTCATTTCAGATCCCTTAAAGCTACTCTGTATCCCCTGCAAAGACAAAAGCACTTCTCCTCTAGTTTATATCCCATAGACTATCAAAATGGCTATCCGGATTGGATCAAACAACAACAAAAAACATTTCCCAATATTCTGTCTCTAGAAAACCAAAGTAACTATACAGTGGTTCATTACTTGCTACTATTATACACAGAGATTTTGCATTCAATAGGAGTTCCATGGATTTACTGAGTCTTTACTGAGTTTACTTACCTTTAAAGCTTTGCAACATCTTGTGGACATGAACAAGTCTCACACTTCAGCTACCTAATTTGTGAAAAAAATGCTCTCTTACATTTGATTTGTTAACTGGTAATGTCTTGTGTTCCACTTGTTCCTGCATTATGATAAATAGTCAATAATATTTCATATTTACCTTCTCTGTGTCTCCTGAAGAAATAGCACTGTATGTTAGCCCTCAGTCACTTCTTGTCCATACAGAAGTCTTATTCTATTAAAACAGTCCTCATTCAGAAGCTATTCATGCATCTGACCATTGTCTCTGTCTTTCAGTGTATTTTCCTAGATTTACACATATTGTTTTTGAGATTGGGTGACTGTACATCACAGGCTATATATCAGTAGAATAGTTTCTTATTTGTTCTCTAGTATTTTCCTAATGTTCTTAATTGGTTTTACTGCTGCTGAGCACTGGGCTGACATATTTTTCAGGCTCTCCAAGATGTGTTTCCTGAGATGAAATCATTAATTTAGTAATCGTCACCATATAGATGTGTTTGTTTTCCCTACATGCATTGTCATTATTGAACTAGAATGTATTGGCTATTATTTTATTACCCAGACATTCATAGAAGAATAGAATCACAGAATCATTTAGGTTGGAAAAACCTCCAAGATCATCAAAGGATGGTAACTCAACCACTTCTCTGGGGCAGTCTGTTCCAGTGGTTGACAACTCTTTCCGTGAAAAAATTTTTCCTAATATCCAATCTAAACCTCCCCTGGTGCAACATTTCTTCTTGATCTATCACTTGTTTCTTGGGAGAAGGGACTCACGCCCATCTTACTCTAACTTCCTTTCAGGTAGTTGTAGAGAGTGATAAGATTCCCCCTTGTGTCTGCCAGTCTAAACAACCCCAACTCCCTCAGCTGCTCCTGACAAGACTTGTGGTCCAGACCCTCTCCCAGCTTCATTGCCCTTGTTTGGGTTTGCTCCATCACCTCGATGTCTATCAAGAGGTGAAAATCAAGAAGGTTTTTTTTAAATTCTTCATGTAAGTTTTAGTTTTTCTATCTTGAGTAATTCTGTGTTAATATAGATCTCAGTCCAGATTCCTGTGGGTCTCCAGCAGTACCCTCTTTTCCTTGAGAAAACTGACCATTTATTCTTTCTTGCTTATTTGGTTCCCTCACACTTTTTCCCTGATTTCGAACATACTGTGTTTATCTATGAAACAAGCCTGATTTTTACTGCCATATTGCAGCTATAAGCACTGTTTCAGGCAATGGAATATACAATTAGCCTTCCTTGTCATTTGACTTTTTACTTTCTTTACACATTATTTCTTGATATAGTTCTTACATCTTTTCTGCTTCCATTTTCTGTATCTATCAGTTTTCCTCCCTGTGTTTTTGGGTTCACTTTTTTATTCAGCTACATTTTCATCCAACATCGTCTTCTCCTGTTCAGCTTTCCTGAAAGGTCTCAACCCTTTCCTCACTACTCACATCTCTTTATGCAGGCTTACTAGAGATACAATATCTGCATATGTGTATCATTTCTCACCTTACCCTATCCATCCCTCTTTCACTAAAAATGTAATCTGTGCATGAGCCAAAGTCACAGAGCCTAGCAGAAGTCTCTTCTCTGGAGTAAGCAGAGTTGAAGTCAAGCTTTCTGTGAGAGCAGGTTGACTTATGTATGAGGCTGCTTTAGAGACAGACACTGAACTGCTATTACAACAGAGTTGAGTGATAGGAAATATGCCACTTCTCCTCTTGGGCTATTCAACCAGGTGATTTGGGTGCCATGATAAAATGGGGAGACCTGCCCAAGTGGGTTGAGGTGTACCAGGCTGCCTCATGCTCTTCTCAGATCATCTGCTTCTCTGGTGACTTGCATGCAAGGGGTGAATAGCTCTAGGAACTGCAAAAGTTCAGGCATCTCTGCCTTTCCTAATACTTAGCAACTAAGGGATAAGGGAGCTGCCAGCGCATACAGAGGAGAACGAAAAAGCAGTGCACCGTGCAGGAAGTTGATTAACTCACCTTGGCTTGCTGCAGGTGCCTGTAGAGGCAAAAACAGCAAAACACAGGACACCTAGCATTGTAGTCAGTAACTTGGAGAGATGTGTTGAATTTTGCTCTTCAGTCTCATGGCTCCTGCAAAAAGGCAGCAACCACAATGCTTAGGTATCTTAGCATGATCATAGCAGAGACAGAGCAGTCATCCTATCTGTCTGTCACCCATGAAACATGTGGAGCAGCACAATTGGGACACCATAGTGGAACTTTCCAACATGGTGGAATCTTCCCACATGATGGGATTTCTTTCCTTATACCTCAAGCTTTGATTCTCTTAACTGCCCTTTTTGATGACAGCAGTTTCTTCCTCACATATCCAACATCATTTTTTTATCCAGTCATCAGCAGGGAGCTCTTAGGAATTCAAGATTCTCAGTATATGGAAAATTTTGTGAGATGGGAATATGTGGCAATTGGAGAGAAAGTGGAAAAGATAATTTCTGTCATGCAGCTTGTTACATTCACTATTCTCCAAGCCATTTGTCAAGCACTGAGTCAAATATCAGTCCTAATGAACTCTGCTCTAACATTCACAATATCTTACTCTTGTTCAATGGCACCAAAACTAGCAGGCACATCTTGTAGAGTGAGATATTCTTCCTACCAAATAAATACTCCCTGTGAGAAAGAGTGATGGACTGAACCTATCTAGCACAGTGAGGCAATCTGGGGAGAGTAAGGGAGAGTGACGGTGCCACAGTCAACTATTTCAGTGAAATAACTGAATGAGTTAACTGTTATGTGTTAGAAGTGGTAATGGTGATAATGACCACACCTTGTGGCCACGCTGCTCTCCTTTTGTCAAGGGTTGTTTTCTATTTGGTGAGCTCTTCTTTGGCATAGTCAGAGTACTTCTGCTGCTGCAATGCTTTTGCACAAAGGTTCTTTGTGCCAAATAACATCATATTTTTGCCAGAGGGTGTTCGTGGTTATTGTTTCTTCAATGCGTCTCTAATTAATTTTGCCAAAGCCACCTATTTTCTGCCATCTGTCAGGTGTCAAGAAGAAAGAATGTGGCTCCAGACAGCTAGACAGGAACACAAGAGAACACGTGGTGAGATGAGAAGGATATGGAGGCAAATTCAGATCATCATCTCACAATGGCTTCTTTTATATGCTAGGTTACAAATCATAATGGACTATTTTTTTTATAGTATAGAAACTATGGAGTTAAAACCCCACAGACTAAGAAACTGCGGCAGTGTTAGGAAGCAAGATATGCTAAAGCCCTTTGTGGTCTAATATATCAGTGACAACAATAATACAGTTATTGTAGTCATTCTTTAAACCAGTAACCTGAGTCCTTGTAGACAATGCCCACAGTTTATACTTCTCATAAGTACAAACATGTATTATCTTTTATCTAAACCGTTTCCACATTTCCATATGCTTCCAGTTATTTATCTTAATTGTGGAAACAAAAACAAATACACTACATGTCAAGAAATGGCTTGACCTTCCTTCCATAGGCCACATCCTATATTCTTTTTGTGCTCCAAAGCTACCTTGCACTCTGATTAACTTGACTAGGAGCTGTGTTTGTGTGTATTCTCACACAAAATGTATATATAACCTGGCCCCACAGGGCTCCACAGGGCTGAACTGAAATCCCAGTTGAACTTCAGCTATGGTATTAATCATGTATTCATGACAGAATGTAGGTTGCAAGAAAATATTTAAGAGTCCATAGAAACTTTTCTTTAAAATATGAAATCCCTAAATATTTGGGTTCACATTATGGTCCTTTAGTTAGGGTTTATTAGACTATTTCATATTTGCCTTTCTGTTTATTTTGTAAAAGTATACTTGTCTAGCACACATTTTTATGCCAGCCTTGCTTTGCATTTTTACAGTCTGCTAATTAGACCATTTTAACTAATTTGTTTGCATTTTGTATGAGCAAGTTGGGCTTTTGGATTGACTAATGTAATTGCAGCCAGTTTCTGCCAAATACAAATTACTCTTTCTAGTGTGAGCTAGAGAGAAAAGTAAATATTTAATAGCCATCAATACCCTTGCAGCATTCTAGAGTGTGCTTTTTTCCTATGGAAATTTTAAATAATTTCTTCAGTACTTGATTGCACTTTAATGTTAAGAAATTATTTTTTAATCTTTTTTGAAATAATAATGAATTAGACATTTTAGCATCTCCGTAAGGATTTTATTTCTGTGCACTTTGCAGTTTTAAATTCCAAGCTTTAAAATCTGGTACTTTCAAGTTTGAGGTTTATTTGTGTAGCTTTTTATGTACTGAGTACCATCTCCTGAAATTGTTTTGCTGGAATGTACTTGAGTTTTAACATTTCTAAGTGGATGAAGTCAAGTCTGATAGCAAAATTAAATTGTGGGAGTTTTGCTTGCTTTCTCCATTTTTTTTTCCCAGAGAAGCATAGCATAAAACAGGAACTGGTTACCAAACCTCAGCATTATAGGTGCCTGTATTTTGAACTGCAAATCTTATGTTCTTCTCTGCAGAAGTGGATGTAAAGGTATAAGTGCACCAGGGCCTTAAGCAGGTTAAAGCTCCTCAATTTTCAGCCTTAATATTCCCAGGATGCTTGCTGTGATACAGGTTGAGAAGACCACCTGCTTTCCAGGGCAAGGCAACCCTCTTCCTTTCCCTCTTTCTTCCTCATGCCTAATTCCCTCTGAGACCTATGCAAGAACACAGGTATGTCTGCCTCACCCAAGGGGCTGCCTCTGAAATGTTATATGGCCACACTTCTCAGGTCAGGGACATCACAGAAGTCCTAAAACTTGTTTCTCTCTGACAAACTTTGGTGATGGTGCCCCTCCCGCCGTACCCACTTATATGGTATCTGACTTTTTCCTAGGGTTTCAGGCTCTACTTCCTTCTCCCTCATGAGGCTTTCAAATGCATGAGGGATACAGGTTAAGACCTGCAAGCGTCTTAACCAAAGGCCTAAGGAGTGGGGCAGCTGTTGCTCTCTGTTACCCAGTGAACGTGGGAATACTTCAAATGTTCAAACCCTTCTGAACAGGAGTGGTGGGTAATGGTTAGCTGGTACTAGGGTTGCCGTAGTGCATTTCTAACCTTACCTTACCTCTTGTCAGTCATGTTGAGCAGCTGGTACCAGTCTTATGATACTGCGGGAAGGAGAACCTTCTTTGGCCACCTTACTGTTTCAACTGACGAAGCTAAAATGATAACAGATCAACAGTGAGATCGAGCACTAAGGAGAGAGAAATCAAAACACCCTTTAGCTAAGTCCCTGACATGTCAGTACCCATTTTATTTTCAGATAGGGTGCAATTTCATGCACTATTAACATATCCATAATTATTAATTAAGACAGTGAATACATAATCAGTGCCAAATGACAACAGAGGTCCATGTCATCAGCAGGCTATAGAACCAGGTTCTGAATTTCATAACCACAACAACCAAATTCATTCTCTCTGTTCCATTCCTTTTACAGCAAATGGGTCACAGAGCATGAAGCAACATGTTTTTGATGGATGCTATCTTCCCAATCCTCCCATCATGTGCTAAGAACAGGCACATTGCAAAAGGTAATAATCTTTTTTTGTTTCTGCTATTTGCCCGACCTAGATGGATGGGCAGGTGATTTGATTAGCGAATTAACCATGCTTTTCTGAGAATGTTACTATTAACAGGCAGTCTTATCTGCTCTCCTGGACGAGTTTGAGTGTGGCATTTTTTTAGTAAACCTAATGTTGCCATTCATGGATACCTACAAGTCTCACAAACATGAGCAGCAAGTTTAAGCATAATTCTATGGTAGGACTTGTCTACTTGGATTAAAACTTTTTTTTTTAACACTACATTTAATACTAAAATTTTACACTGAAAATCAATGGTAATTAACAACAAATTTAATAACATGAGATTTAATACTAAATATATGTAGTATATTTTCCATTATGGACATGATTGCTCTTTGGGAAAGTGCTCTGTGGTCCTTATATATACTGAATTTCTTGAGTAAGTACTTTTTCACCCTAGATACAGAGAGAAGTACCTCCCTGTGTATCCTTATATTTGCTATTTTGGTACACTATTTTGGAACTTATTAGGACAAAATATCAAATGGATTTTCTTATGTATCCAGTACTTTTCTAAGTGTGCCTATCTGACTACATATAGAAAAGCTGGTGTGATCTTGGTACCCCTGAGAGGACATAAAAAGATGGAGGCTTTGAAGATGTGGGTACCATCATGCAAGAGGTCTGCCTAAAATAGCTGCACAGATCATCTTCAGAAAAGAGAAGGAAGTTAGGTTATTTTCTCACTTTTGACCATTGTACAATTTATTCATGGCTATTTCTCTTGCTGCTAATAGAATTACTCACACAAGTAACACAATAACACTTTAGCCTTAAGCAGTTGGCCTCCACGCTGATATACAAGTGAGCATGTCAGCTGCTGCTTACTGTGATGCAGAGAACAAATTAAGAAAGAACTGGACTGGCTCCGTTAGAAGTTATAGATAACTGAAATCTATTTTAATCATTTCTGTCACAGGAAAGTATTTTCTAAATGTGTTATGTCAAAACATCCCGAGAAGTGACATGTAATCCAAGGCACACGTTTTATTCTTGATTACATTTGCAAATTCAATCTCAGTCCTTTCAAGGCATTTTGAATTTAAAGTAATATTGTTAAATGCTTGTGTTCCTGATACTTAACTAAAGCAGTGCCACAGGAATATTCAATAAAGGAATTCAGTACAATGATTCATTTATTCACTGAAGATCTTGTCTTAACAACTGAAAATTTTTATAGATCTGATCCCTCTCCAGAGATTTAGTCATTCTCCAAAATGCAACAGCAAGAGATGAGGAGATGATAAAAAAGTTATAGCATAAAATACAGATGCTTTTCACCAGCTATGTCACGAGACCTTTCAGTGTTTGGTCTCTGCTTATGAACTCTCTCCTTCTTTAAAAGCCTGTAAGACTCAATGTCTTTACAATGTCAGATCCTAGTAAAACTTTGCGGGGACACAAATCCCACACATTTAGTTTTCTAAAGCTCTAATGGTGTTTCTTCCACTGACTCAGCATGAGTGCTTCTGTTGTGCTATGTTGTGTCAGCAATTTTCAGCATTTCATATTTCACTGCAAAATAATTTGTTTGAAATGTAGGCTATCTCTAAGCCCAGTATTTATGTGCTTGAAGAGTAGCTTGAATGTGAGGGACAGTACATGAGTGTGTCTGTTACGGTAACATTCCAGTAGGAAAATTCTTGATCCAAATGATGGACATAGAGTACGGTATATCAGTTGGTTCTTATACATATACATCCTCTCATAAATTTGTGCTCTGCCCATGACATTTTTTCACTAAAGACAGATATACTTAGAATACAAACTTCCATGTGAATGGCAAGACATTTTGCAATAATTGTGTGAATGAAAAGGGGAAATTACAATCACCAATTTTAGACTATTTTATTTATACAAGCAGTAGATGTTTCTAGTGTTAATTAAACTCCTTAGAGTATGAGAACAGTGAAATTTTGTCCAAGATAAATTCTTTGATAATTTTATATAATTTGTACCTGTAGTTTGGACTTAACAGACCAAAGTGAAGATATGTATGGGAAAGGTATGTGAGGAAAAAGTGCATCCAAAGCAGTGATGTGAATAGTGTGAAAGAAAGAAAAGCTGAAGAGGAAAAAAATAATGGTCTGATTAGATGCTGGTGGAAGATTTTCTACTCATCTGTGATGGAAAGTGATATTAAAATATTTGGTCCTCATATACAGAAATTCTGCAAAATTTAGTGCCTTGATCAACACCTGGGTTTGCACCTCCAAGAATTTAGATCTACATCTGGCCACCACCTAAGTAGTGCACTTTGACACAAAGCATTGCTTGTGTTGCTGCTAACTATAAAATTTTGTTTACAAGGATAAACATCACTTAAAAAGGTGATAAAGACATAATGAACGAGAGCCAAACTTTTGAAATGCTTAACCCATTCGATAACGCATGTAAGGTATACTTAAAAAAAGGAATGCCTGTTATGTTTGCAAGTGGCTTCAGATTAACAAGGGCACATATAATCCAAAGTACTGTTTAAAGGTCAGTGAAAAGTTTAAAGGTTAAACCCTGCTACTTTTTTTCACTTCAGACTCCAAGGGTTTCAAAAAGAAAGGCCATTTCTACTCTTAGCTACACTAGTGTGAATTTAATATTCACAAGTGCTTGGTCTTAGTTGAATTGATGTGGATTTACAGCAGAAGGACTTCCATCTCTGGTCCTATACTGCTGCTTTGCTGCTTGGTTAAAAGAACAGGTTTTGTTCAGCCGCCACTTTCCCCTATATATATATATATATATATATGTATATGTCTCTGTGAAAATTTGTCCATGCATTTTTCAGAGCAGAGAAACTATACAAAATACTCTGAATACACTGTAGAGGTTGAAAATTAGTGTATTGGGAAAGGTGAATTTCCATATTAAACAACTTTTTTTTGATGCTCATTATCTTGTAGCAAGAATAGTATTCTTCCATCAGCAATTCTACAGCATTTTTAAATGTGCTGCGTTTGTTAACAGTAAAATCATCATATCCCTAGTTCTATAATAGGGAAGCCATACCACTGAAAAGAGGAATGTCTTATCTCGAATGAGGTTTCCCACTAAGATAATCTGAGGAACACTGTGATTCTTGAGCAACTCTATGTTTTCTTTTCTACTTGTTTTTCCACTATTAGCAGAAATAAACCCGTAGTATTTAGCAAAAGTTTTAAAAAGTGTTAGCCAATAAACAAGAATATTTACATCTTTTCTTCCTGGAGAAATTCTTCAAGTCTCCCTCTTGGACTCCCCACTTGTTCACATTCCCTGAGGACAGAAAATCTTCCAAGGGCTAAAAGGGTCACTCCTGATACAAGTTGCAAACACAATACACTTGAGCTCTGGGACATTGACTTCACCTCCGCTCTGCCAGTCACACTACCCACCAAAAGTCCATCCTCAGCTGTTCTGTCCTGGGTAGGACCCTGAGCAGTCACTACTGGAGAAAGCTACTTGAAGAAAAAGTACAGGGTTTAGTGATAAAGATATAGAAAGATTACAAACCACATTCTACAAATTTGCTTTGGGCATCATTCCAGAGTGTTATCCAGAGAGACAGCTGGGTTAACAGCAGCAAGGAGCCTCACAGGATCCCTTAACTCCCCCTTGGTCTTACAGGCTCTTTGCAATCGCCTGTTCTGCTCCTGTGTCCTCACAATCGTTCTTCCTCAGCTCCTTTCATTTTGTATCTCACCTCTGTGTTGTCTCTTCAAGTCTCCCCTCAGAATCTCCACTGTCCCCCAAAGCTCCTGCTCCTGTTCATACCACACTATCCTGCCACTTTCCCATGCCTGCCCAATACCAGTCCATGGGCAGTTCTCACCTCATAGTTCCCTGTCTGGTTTTCAAACCATATAGCACTATGGTTTTTTGGAAATCAACATTTTTTAAGCTTTTTTTTTTTTAAACTCTTTGAAGGAACTAGACAAGTTTAAGTCATGAACTCATGCAGAAGGAAAGATGAAGTGTTGCATAAGGGATAAAAATGAGAAATGGCAGCCTTTTTGTAATACATCCAAATATTTCTGAAAAAAATACAGTATGGTTTTGGAAATTACAACTTTTTTTATGACCCACCTTATAACCTGGGGCTTGAAAATCTGCAAGACTTTTCCTTTCCTTGATCATATATCTGTAAAAGCACTTCAGCAAGAAAAGTTGCCGATGTGACCCTGTGGGATTTTTTTCCTTTTCAACCATTGAAAACATTCATACAAATAAATTCAGTTCCTTAGATATGAATAGAAAATGGATCCACAAGAATGAGAATTTGGGCAATGTATATTCATTTCAAAAGTCAAGGAAATATTGACGGAAAACACTTCTGCATCTTCCACTGGAATTACTGAATATATTTGATTAAACATATAAACTTCGCTTTGCTATTCAAGTTCACCAAGCATGTTTGGAATAACAATTATTTTATTAACATACTGACATGATCTAGTCAAACAAAATTAAATGTGTTTTGGGGTAATAAAATGTAAGGCCTTATTTAACTATCTTTGCTTTTCTAAAACAATGGAAAGACAGATTTCTGCAGAAGCAAAATGATATTCCCACAAAAACTGTAAATTAAA